CTTCTAATTGACTGTTGAAAAGTTTTGCATTAGCAGTCAAAAATCTCCTAAGTATTCAGTAAGTATCAAATTAAGAGGGAATTGTGCAAAATATGCTGACAAACTGTAAGGAACTATAGAAAAGGAAGTAGATTATCTACGTAATCATTTGGATACGTTTTCAGATAATATAGTGATTACTATAGTGAGAAATAGAGAGAGCAGTTCCCTGTAGTACAATCCGGCCGAAGATTTTACCTTTTGAATCCACAAAAGCTGTTGAAAATAACTAGATTCATCCAAAAATACGTAGATGGAGGAAGTTGATATGTGGTTTACCATTAAAACCGCCTATATGATATTATGGTTCAGTGTCCTGTGACTTATCTCAAATATTCTTGTGGGAGAATCTTATAAAGTAAAGCCGCTCATCTCAATTAGCTCCATTAGTTTATCTTTAAACAAGTTAAACCTTCACTTTTTTAATTTACTTGATTGGTTACTCAGGGATTTTAAGAAAGGGTTTGGGTTTTTAACTCACTCAAGAACTGAAGCTATTGGAACACCGTAAAAGACGTGTATTTGCTGACACGACAACCTTTTTTTTTAAAAGGCATCTTTTTCGATGAGGCTCACTTTCATCTTAGTGGTGTGGTAAATAAACAAAACTGCCGATTTTGGTGCGAAGAAAATCTACAAACTACTCATGAATAACTATTACATTCACCTCAGTTGACAGTTCGGTGTGGTTTTTGGTCTGCTGGAATCATTGACCCGTACTTCTTTCGAAATGAAGCCGGTGACCCCGTTACTATCAATGGAGAGCGGAATAGATCGATGGTAATCAAATTTTTACGTCAGCAATTGGAAGACGTTTAACTTGACAACATCTGGTTCCAGCAAGAAGGGGCTACGTGCCATACAGCACTTGCAACAACCGAATTATCGCGAGAAAAGTGTGAAGATTTAATTATTTCAAGAAATCCTCCAAAAAGTTCAGATTTAATACCATTACACTATTCTCTTCAAGCTTTAGAAGTCAGTATTCAATTATTCATTACATATGACTTTATTTAGTGGAAAAAATACTCGAAATTGGTTTAATCGAATTTGTTCCTGCAAAAGAAGTCTCGAAGGCCATTTGAATGATGTTATATTTAGAGTTGAATGATATCGATTTTAAAATAAAAATAAATGACTAAATAAAATACATTTGGCTTTATTCGAAAATTAATGTGTTTTTTTTTTTCTTTTTTTTTTTTTTGTTTGTTTTTAAAGAAGTCATATCCCTCTTATGTGAAAACCCTGTAGTTGGCAGTACAATGACCAACGAATTTTTTATCAGATCCGAAATCAAATTCTAGCAAGACAAAAGGAACGATTTTTGGGACGTATGTCATTGTTATTGTCTGTCCAATACGCTTTAGTAGAGCACTTTTTTTTTAGGTTTAATTCACTGAGTGGCCGCTACAGCAGTGGAGTACATGTTTTTTAGTGTTACCAGAGATCGAGCAAAACTCGAAAATTTGTATAATAATAATAATATTAGAAATAATATATTTTCCCAAAAATTGATCAGTAGTTCTTTTTTCAATTCCCCAGAAACGCTGTTTTTGATTACACTGTCCAACAGCATATTTGGAACAGAATAGTGACCCTATAATTCTGAAAGGGTATGTTGAGTAGATCATTTTTGTAGAACAAACTTATGGTCCAGCACGTGTGAGTTTTTTTTTTTACAGTGGGTCAAAGTTTTCATTTTTTGGTCGAAGGGAGCATTATACTATACATTTGAAAAAAAAAAAATGTTGTAAGTTAATGTCTTATGGTCAGAGTTGTATTGTGGAATTGTATGAGGATTATTTTTGTGGAAGATCTTACCCCAGGTTTCTTTATGGGTCAATTTGACCCCTTTTTCGAGAAAATCAAAAAATATCCTTTAAAAAAGACATTTAAAGATTAAAATATTCTACGAAAATGTTTGGCGGAAAATTTCAGTGGGGGTCACCAAAGACACCATTGTTGTAAATAAAGCTCTTTACGATTGATAAAAAAATTACACGCCAACATATACAAAGCAGGTGAAAACGTCGTCAAGTTCGGTCGGGCCAAACACTGAGTTCTCGTCTAGTCAGCTGTGACTTACAAATCGGTTCTGATAAAATTAAGCATAATTGACTTACTAAGCAGTACATATCGGGTGTGATTTTTACTAAAATTAGTATAAAAAAAGAACAACGGTGGTTGAAAACATATCAGATATAAGTTACTTGCCTCCTGGTGTTTTAAACATATGTCCTAATTTGATGGACCAAGCTTTTTTTTAAGATCTTGTAAGAGATTTAAGACTAACAAAAGAGAAAGCTGAAATATTATGTTCCAGATTGAAAAACAGGAATTTGATAAAAGCCGATGTAAAAGTTACATCGCCAAGAAAAAGAAACGCCGATTTGGAAAGTTATTTTAAAAAATCAGAAGAACTTGTATATTGTTGCTGTATTAAAGAGGTTCTAAAATATCTAAAGCTTCCACTGGACTCATCCGCTTGGCGACTATTTATAGATAGTTCAAAACACAGCTTAAAAGCAGTTTTACTACACAATGGAAATCAGCATCCATCAATACCGGTGGCGTATTCCACAAAAAAGGAGGAAACATACGCAAATATTTCAAATCTCTTAAATAAAATTGAAAACTATAAATACAAATGGGAAGTACGAGCAGACTTCAGAATGATTGCAATATTGACTGGAATGCAAACAGGATACACAAAATATATGTGTTTTCTTTGTAAATGGGATTCACGTGCTACCAGCAGTCATTATCATATTAAATATTTCGAAGAACGTAAAGAAAATATCATTGGTGACTTAAATGTAATCCATGAATCTCTTGTCCCAAAAGATAAGGTCATACTTCCACCGCTGCATATTAAGTTGGGCGTGGTGAAAAATTTTATTAAAAGCCTAAATGCACAAGGATATGCTTTCAAACGAATTCAAACAATTTTCCCCAGATTATCTGCAGCAAAATTAAAAGAAGGTAAAATACGGTTTTAAGAAATAATTTATTTCATTTAATGTAAACTACCTTTTCTAGGAATGCTCGTTGGACCCGATATAAGAGAATTATTACAAGATGAAAAATTTTATGGTCATCTGTCGGATATGCAAAGACAGCATTTGAATTTATGCAGCTGGTTATAACAGAATTCCTTGGAAACTCAAAAGCACAACACTATGCAGAAAATATTGAAAGCATGCTAATCGGTTTTAACAATATTGGCGTTAAGATGTCACTAAAGCTGCATTTTCTGCACTCTCATCTCAATTTTTTGAAAGAAAACCTTGGAGTGGTTTCAGATGAACACGGTGAAAGGTTTCATCAGGATATAAAGGTATTGGAAGAAAGATTCAAAGGGAAATCCCAAAGTGTAATGCTTGCTGAATACGTATGAGGCTTGTACAGAAACATTGACACATCGGAACATTCACGTCAAGCTAAATACAGGAAAGCATATTAAGTTTAATCTTTAATCCATTGTCCTACTACTGCTGAAGCAAACAAAATAAATATGTACACACTATAAGAAACCACTATTAAAACAAAATTATAATTTTTTTTATCAATCGTAAAGAGCTTTATTTACAACAATGGTGTCTTTGGTGACCCCCACTGAAATTTTCCGCCAAACATTTTCGTAGAATATTTTAATCTTCAAATGTTTTTTTAAAGGATATTTTTTGATTTGCTCGAAAAAAGGGTCAAATTGACCCATAAACAAACCAGTTAGAGGGTTAAGATCTTCCACAAAAATAATCCTCATACAATTCCACAATACAACTTTGACCATAAGAATTCTCTCAGACATTAACTTACAACATATTTTTTATATAGTATAATGCTCCCTTCGACCAAAAAATGAAAACTTTGACCCACTGTAAAAAAAAACTCAGACGTGCTGAACCATAAGTTTGTTCTACAAAAATGATCTACTCAACATACCGTTTCAGAATTATGGGGTCGCTATTCTGTTCCATTCAAAAAGTCTTCATTTGTTGGACAGTGTTATCATACTAGATCTCTCTAGACACTTTTTAGCAACTGAAGAAGATATATATTAAAGCATTACTTCAGCACTTGAAATAGTCTAAAAGAAATACTGAAAGTGATTCAGGAGGATGAATAACTTTATTTGTACAAAAACATTAAAAAAAGATCATATTAAGAAAACATTGACTATCTTATTTTCTTATTTTATACACTTAATTTTCCAAAAATCTTTTCAAATTAAAAAAAAAAAAATTGTCAAAAATAATTTTTCTATATCTCAACCCACTGTGCGGTAATTAGTCTTGATCGTGCGTGCTTACTTGGTACATGCTTGTTGCTATGGCATGCGCCACACGACGCATCAGTAATTCTTTACGGCTACGAGAACAACAAAAGCTTTTAGACGACAATAACAAATTGTTGACATGCATGGCAAAGAGTCAGCAACAGGTGCTCGTTTACTTTGCATTGCACGCTCTATTTGTTTTGTGGCGTTAATTCTTCTATCTGCTATGGCTAAGATGCTGGGATAGAATGGCGTATAAGCAAGATAAATGAACTGAGCGATGTTGACAGAACTTTTTGATTGATATACAGACTTATTGAAAGAACTTTTCCGTATAATATTTTATACAAATGTCTCAATTTAGTTTAGTACTACAAATTTTTCGTTTTCAATAATAGAAATTTTTACTAAAATTTTCCAAAATTATTATATTTAAACTATTAACAAATATATTTTTATATATGTTTGTCATTATTTGGAGCTCACGGAAGCTGGTGTGAATACATGGCAGTTATACGAAAATACATACACACAGGTACAATTTTTTGATTTATAAAATTCTAAACTGATATTTATGTGCGCAAACATTCACTTATTCCAGCCCATATAAATGTTTTTTTTTAAGAAACACACACACAAGCACAATTTATAATATTTCGCAGTAGAATCAAAAATTTAATTGCTTTCCGCTGAACTCACCGTCGGATCCAAGCAACGTTTACACCTACAAGTAAAGTGTTTGGTGCCACGCAAAAAGAGTTGACGCGCCAAAGTGTTCCACAAGATTTTCGTATATGTGGCGGTGATCTCCTCGCCCTGCGCTATATCGCGCGCGGCCGTCACCACAATCGTTTGCGCATTCTCAAAGTGATGCGACACATTCGGCGTACAGTTATGATTCATGAGTCCTGCCAATGCGAAGAGCGCGCGCACGCTCGTTTCATGCCCGTCCACAATGCTGCGGCCCTCAAACGCGTTTGTGTTATATACACTAACCGTGCGATAGAAAAAACCCAGTGTTTCCTTATCCGTCGGGAAATTCTCAAAACACTCCGCGGCGCGCTCCACTTCACGCTTATAGTATTTATCAGGATTCGCCTGCATGGCCAGTAGCAGCCTGCGTTTCTCGGGACACAAAAAGTAGCAACGCATCACGCTTAATATGCGCAACGCATAGGGAACTATGCGCGTCGTATCCTTGGGCACCCAATAGCGAAACAATTTGCACTCCATATCATGCGCGCCCGATTGCTGGCAGGCGACGCAAATTGGCAGCGCGCAACCAGCCGCGCAGAGCGCTTTGTTCTCGTCAAGCAGGCGAAAACAGATGGCACAGGTGTTAAGTACCGTGTCCTTGGAGGCTGTCGGTCCATTCAGCAGGGTGCGCTCGCAAAATATCAATTCGCCGCGTTTGATGTCGCGACGCGCAAATATGCCACGACCCGAAATCGGTGAGTCAACCACTTGCCAGCTTGGTTCCTGCTCACACAAGTCACCCAGATGGAGGTCAATCAGATGCGCCACCTCCGAGGTTGGAATATGATTGCCATTTTCCAAAGCCATTTTATTTTTCACAATTACTAATCGTTTTATAAATATAACTTATAGTTCAAACGACCGCCAGCGTTTAATTATTTTGCCCGAAATTCACTTGCAACGCGTTCACTTGTAATATTCATACTAGTTGCCACTAATTAATTTAATTGATGATTGCGTAAAAATCTTAGCACAAGCATAATATATTTATACATATGTACATATATGCTTGCACTTTATCTTAATATTCACCTTTCTTTTTCTTTCTTTTCTTTTTTGGCAACCAAACCACGACGTAACTCAAACGCGACTAGTATCGCCGCCGTTTGTTGCAGGCATTCATGACGCGTTTAGCCGCAACGGCGCTCTACAGCCGGTTCTTAGTTTCGACATGATCTTCTGAAGATAGCGCTCTGGGCTCTCCCAGTTTCAGTTGTTGCCTATGTCTTAACACAGTTCAGTTCATTTGGTTCTAATCATACAGTTAAACTGCCAAGTGATCATGAAAGCTATCTCACTTCCTGACATATAATGTACATGTTGCGTTGGTGGCAAACACAGAGGTCGCTGTGTGACAGAGGCTTGTGTGGCTGAAATGTTTAGGGGGGTTTCAAGTAAATATCAAGAGAGCCATACCACAGAAAAGGCAAGAGAAAGCAAGAATATGTAATTGTCTCAAACGTGGAACGAGAACTTGTGATTCCCCCGCAATTTCTAAAATTCAAGTATTTTGAAGGTGACGCTAGCTTCTTAAGAACCAAGTTTTTTTGCTTTAGTTACATAGATCATCGAACATACAACTGGCGTTCGGCCAAAATTTCCATCAGAAAAGTCTTTGCTCGTGTTAAAATATATATATATTTTTTTTTGAAACAAAATAAATCATGACCTATCCCGAAGTTCAAAATGTTTAAGCGAAAGCGTAACAGTTTCTGACTAAGGATGGGTTTCACAAAATTTTGGATTTTTTTATTTGTTAAAAATTTACCGTAATTTACGGCTAAATACGTTAGTGTCCGTTCAATAGTTCCCAGATTCCGCAATTCGAAAATTGAGACACATTGATGGATTGGTCAAAGCTTGGTGGAAAGGTTGATGGAAGGGATGGAACTCAAGTGTCAGACTTCCTGACAATTGCAGTGTCTTCCAAGGTGAGGTCGCAGCCATTAAGGTAGCGGTAAATTTAGTAGCCTCCTTCATCGCCATCCACTCAGATTGCAGAGCGGCGATACTAACATTGAGCATCGAGTATCTTTTTGATAAGACTCGTCCGAGCGGAATCGCAGAAAACTGTAAAGCTGATAAGCTGGCCAGAAAAGGTACACTCGAACGCTATAGGTAGAATTGGAGGGAATTGGTGCTTCCATATCTACTTGTATTCAACTACTAAATAAATCGCAAGAGATCCAGTGATATCTGTCCTCAGTAAGTATAGCTTCTCTCCGAGTGTTGAACCTTTCCTTGCTGTATGGTTTGGAATCTCACCAGACGCTATCTACAGAGACTGTATTTAAAAAGATAAGGTGGAAACAACTTAACGCTTCCTTCTTGACTGTCTCGCGTTTGGGAGGTCAAGAACTTGGGAGCGCATGCCTTCAGACATCTCACCAATCTAGCGGGAATGGAAATCAAATGCCTGTGCAAATTTGTATTGGCTACTAAGCATTTTGCTAATTTGTAGTTCAAACAAATGAGTTCTACGGCCTCCCAAAGGACACCACATATTACTTGACGTGCGATCTTTGATCAGCTATCTAAAATAACCTTTATCTAACAATCACTTTCCAGGAAATGCAGTTTGAAATCCTCATCACGATGACGACATTAAATCATCAAGACTCCATAAAAATTGGACCATATATTTCTAGTTTCCATATACCAAAGACGACAAACTTTAGCTCCAATATACTTTATACCACATATATAGAGCAATGATAGAGTTATATTAATATAATAGTTATTATTATTAGACTTTTTCCATGGACCTTGAAGTTTTTCGAACTTCGGATTGCCGTTATAACGCAAATATGTTATAAATCTCTAGTATTGAAGTTTTCTAGTTCTTATGACAGCTTTTAAAATAAAAAGCCACTGGAAAATATCCTATTGAACACCCATATATGCTATGGGGTCCAACTACTCACACTACCCCCCTCCAAATACTGCCACTGCCACACAATTCGTTTATTTACTTTGTTGCCTGACATGGATTCGCGCGAATGTTTTTATGAATGCTTATTTCATGATTTAATGGATGGGTGGATTCGGCCACAAATTTTATGTACATGTACTTGCTTACATACAAAATATACAAGCTTATAGATGGGCACATGAGATATATGAACCATGGAACAGCAGGAATGGACGCGTATGTGTGAGCAAATGAGGCAAAATTAGGCAGCAGTTTGTGGCAAATGGCTAATTTACATAAAAACAATATAAAAGTTTGCATAAGCAATAGTGGCGAGAGTGTTTACATTACGATATATTTCACATGGAAACATGCCACTGCTCTGAAATTGATCAACCGAAAGGAGAGCAACCTAACACACATACATATATGTATGTGTTTTTTTTATGAAATAAATATGTATTAGCGATTTATTTTTTCTATTTATCAATGAATATCTTTTGTAGGTGTGCATATATTTTTGACTAATGGTCTAAAATAATTTAGGCTATCGATTTTGATCATTTATTAACGATAATAATTTAATTAATTGAAAAATTTTAACATTTCAAATAAAACTCAAACAATATGTATATTTTATTAAAATTTAAATAGTTTATTTTGCCTTTTTCATTGCCTGACTACTTAATTTGCTTCCGTAATATTATAAATATATCCACAAATATATACATACATATATGCATGTAAAATTTCCAATTTATTCGACAAAGTGTTTATAAGTCAGGCAATTATTTTTAATTGCGACAAAAATTTGAAAAATCATCCAAGTGATTGACAGTCGTGTGATGCTCCAATATTTTCACTTTGATTCCGCATCGCTAATTTGTCGAACTAATGACCATAACCATTAACATACTACACATGTATATCGATCTAAAAACATAAATATGTATATCCATAGGCATTTTAAAAATCTTGTATTATTTTTGTCCCTCTCGTCGCCTAAAACTATGTTACATATTTTGAAAAAGCTTTTACTTTGAAGTCAGCAGTTTTTGAAAAGCTGCACGGAAATGAGTACAGGGTGCTTATAGAAAGAAATACTAAAAGCTAATACCTGTGGCAGACATGTAGTAACAATAATATGGGTAATGAGCACCCTGAAAAGATTCTAAAGCTTCCATTTCATCCAGAATCATCATTCAAAAATTATACTGGTGAGAACGTAACCGTCAATGGCAACCGTTATCGCGGCATGAAAAGACTATTTGAGGTCTGAAATCGAAGCTCGTGATCTGGGCGACATTTGGTTTAACAAGACGGCACCACATTTCACACATCGCATAAGTCAATGTATTTATTGAGAGAACTTTCGGTGAGCAGAGAATTTCATGTTTTAGACCGTTCGTTTGGCCACCAAAATCGTGCGATAATTCACACCGCTAGACTTTATCTTGTGGAGATATGCAAAGTCTAAAGTCTATGCAGACTATCCCGCTTTGATCACACTTTATATGCTGTTTGTTTTTAAGGTGGTGGAGGATGTGAAAAATGTCTTCCGCATTATAATTTTGCAGTCACAGCAATGGTATGTGTCGGTCATTAAAAGGAACCGTTGCAAACACTGGACCGCTTTCACATTTCTTCGAAATAGTGTTCCATATTTCTCGTTTTAAGACTCAGATGTAATGGTCCCGTTTTTTTTTTTTTTTTAACCGTAGAACGTTTTTTATGTAATTCAGTGTCGACGCATGCATTTGAAAAGTACACGACACCGCGGACTATCTATACTAACATTTCAGGATGTTTTTGCACTCCCCACTACGCTACGGCTATTCTGTCGCAACTACGACTATATATGAGACGCATAAGATTGGATCCCACCTCAGAGTTTTCCAGCTCTTAAGCCTCTGCCTCCGACCGCGCATTTTTGAAAGCTCCCTTCATGTCGACCTTGAAATCATCACTGGAGTCCCTTCTACGAGAGTTGTTAAAGAGTTCGAAGATATGATCTCCCCTAGCTCTGATGTCCACAAAGTTGATTTCTTTTTTACTTTTCTGAGTTTTCAGAAGACAGGAGCTTTCTAGAGTAGTCTTACAAGCGGAGCTGGAAACCTCGCATTATTTCTTATTTCTAAAGTTTCTATAGGTTTTGCATTTCGAGTGCAAAGCGTCCACACTGAAAGGCTTGAAGTATGTCAGTAATAACGCGCCGAATATTATCTTCTAAGACTTATCTACACTACTAAGCAGCTTCACAAAATCCAAAAAAAAAAAAAGTACAACGACGACAAGGAGAAGGTTTCATCACTAAATTGATTGTTTACTTGTCTGTATGGCATATAGTACTGTCTTGTTGAAACTAAAGGTCGTCCTCATCAATATCCTTCCTTCAGGCAGGAAAGACTCATTAATCATAGCTTTAT